AACTCCTCTTCACAAATTTCATGCACGCGTGGCCGTTGGATGAAGTCTTTGGTCCAAGTCAAACCCCAGATCCAATGGCAACCAACTCATCTTCTTCCTTTTGAATGTTGGAGGGAAAGAAGCCATGGAAGTTCAGAGCTTCAACTCCATCTTCCCCAAATCGTACTTCATCAATACTCCATCAAAACTCTCACATGAATACACTGATCCACTCCATTTTTCACCCTGATTCTAACCCTAGCCTCAGAATTTATTGAATCAGCCTCTAACCTAAAACACGATCAAGAATCAAAATTATGCTCAGACCTCAATTATCACCATTCTTCAAATTGTTTGGTCTAAAATGTTCACCATGTTACACTGATCAGTTCTTGCTATAATACTCATATTATCTCTCAATATCCAACATGTTCTTGATCCAAACAGAAATTGTGTCATCTCATTGATCATCACGAAATCCTCTCTAAGTTTCCAGAAACGATCTCCTAACCACATACTACTAATCTAACCTAACAAATTGAGGTAATTCTTCTTAAATTAAGGTGAGGGATGAAAGTTTCAAACCTGTGAATTCTTGAGTAACAGAAGTAGCAAAGCTTCAATTCAACCCTTCTACTGCTCTGGAATCATTCAATGTACCAAGTTCTTGCTTCTGTATGCAAGAGAATCTATTGCAAATGCTTGGAACTCCAAACCCGATGGTGACTTGCAGGTGCTGAAATTCAATTGCTCATACACGATCCTTCAAGGTTTTGGCTATGGAATTGATTTGGAATCATTCAGTATCCTCCATAGAAGTTGTTGAGATCAAAAGAAAGATAAAAAATGGTGTGGAATGCAGAAACTGATTTCAATTTGCAATGAACAATGTGAAGTTGCAAACTCTCTTCTCTCAATCAATTCTCACCAACCTTGCACTTGAACCCCTTCTAATCAATATATAGATGATGTTGGACCTCTCTAGAACCTTCAGGAATCATCCAAGGAGATGTTGAATTTCTCATGTCATCCAAAATCTCATCTCATGCCATACTCACCCCAATTCTGGTTTTACTTGTTGCAGCAGCTTGTTATGATCCCAAAATCTCTCCAAATGAGATATTAGATGTGTTGCAATGCCTTGGACGCTTGTGTATTGATCTCTCATGTGTTTTGCAAATGTTACTTAATATGCAAGCAATTACTTTTCAAAGCAAGTCCAAATATTAGACCTCAAATGAGAATTGTGGCTAAACCAATGTTCTTAAAATGTTTTTTAGAGTCAAAATGATATATCACATGCCTTGGTTTGGATGTGTAAATCAGAAATATCAATTTCCAACTTTGGCTTATTTAACTTATACCCTTATTTTAGGTCATTTTTGCAACTTTGGGCTACAAGCACTTCCAACATCTCATGACCTATTAACTAGCCTTAAAACATCATTTTGAGCAAGTTTGATGTTGAACATTTTCCCATTTGAAGCTTGGAAATGGGAGTTATGGCCTTATGCTTGAAATGACCTGTAATCTCCAAATGACCAAAATGCCCTTGACTTGTCAAAGCCATAACTTGAGTTCAACAAATCCTATCAAGGACTTCTAGTACTCTCTAGAAAGCTAAGAGGATAAGGAACAACATTCATGTTGACCAGAAGTTCATAGGAATCATCCTTCTTGGGAAAAAGTTGGATGCAAGTTGGGTAACTTTTAAGCCCCCAAATCCACAGACCTCAGATGACCTGCAACTTGTCAAAGTCATAACTTGAGTTCTATAAATCCTATCAAGGACTTCTAGTACTCAAATTAAAGCTAAGAGCAAGATATAAAACATTCATGTTGGGGGCAAGATGAGATCACAATCCCATCTTGAGCTAAACTGCCTTGAAGATAGGGGTCAAACTAGGGGATTTTACACTGTGAAGCCTTATAAACCCTAGCTTGAAACTTCTCAAACTCTCCAATCATGATGATTTGACCTTGGAATCATCCTTATAACATCTCAATGTATCAATCCATGATCACATGGATCTTGAATTAAGTCTCAACCTTCTCCAAATCATCAGTTGACTTAAGGTTGACCCAGTCAAACCCTAATTGCATCAATCATGGCTGAGTCTTCTTAATCTTGCACGCTGACCTATCTAGGCCTCATGATGGCTTTAAAGAAATCTCATAAGCTCTCTCAAGGCTTCAAGTCCATATTCATGGCTTCAGAATCATCTGAGGAGCTCCCACAACTCTCAAGTTAGGAGGCACACACTCTTGGTTTCAACCACTCTCTCTGAGGATCTTTTGACTTCTCTGACAAGGATATCAACCCTTGAACACTTGAATAAGCTTCTTGGCTAGCTTCAAACTCCTGCGTAGCTCTTGATTGGTAATCATACCTCTTGATCTCCTGCATACATGTCAATGAAATGCAAATGATAATGCTAATGGGAATGCAATGAAACATAAGCTAGGTAAAGAAATGTTGGGCAAATTTTGGGGTGCAACAGCTGCCCCTATTCAAGCGGCTTGAACCTGACTGGGTGAGAAGCGAACGGCTCTCAACAGTCAAGGTAAAAGACGGTTGAATACCAACAAACCCGGAAATTTGCCAACTGCACAAGTACGCGGTACTCTGATGGGGACAGATCTTCGGAAATTGAAATGATAGCTGCACGGCAACTAATTGGAGAATTGGTCACACGGTAACCGGTAATACATGGTCGATCATGCCGTCAGGCATCAAGATTCCTCGGGACTCATCAGGTCAACAATCAAGTTAATCATGCCATCGGGCATTCAAAGAAATTTTCGGGCATCAGCCGGACTTCATCAGTAAGTCGGGAATAGAATTCTCAGTCAATCATGAACCAATTGGGGATATCCGACTTCTACCATCAGGCACTCCGCATCAGCTGAGAGAGCTGCTTCGTCAATATGGTTGGACTTCAATCATCAAGTCTTCAAGGGAAGTTTCAACTTCTCTATTCAAGAACCTGTTGGGGATGACACATCTCCGCTGGGGATTCTGGAGAACTATCAAGTAACTCTGCTTCGGGGCTTCAGAAATCATTCCGACTGAATCATCTCTGCTGAGGAAATCAAGAGTCATCTTGAACAAATAACTCCGTCGAGGACTTCAAGAATCATCCTGAACCAATAACTCTGCTGGAGATTTCGGGGATCATCCCGAGCACTCACTCTGCCGGGGACTCTAAGCATCAACTTGAGCAACCAACTCTGGCGACTTCACTAGGGTTTTAAGAGTCATCTTGAGCAAACGACTTCGCTGGGGAGAATTCAAGAATCATCTTGATCCACTACAAGAAAAAAGGAGATTTACGACACTTGAGTTACGACAGTTATCACAAAACCGTCCTTATTCCTGGATTGCGACGGTTGTCACGACAGTTAGGGTCAACTGTCGTAGATTTTTTGCGACAGTTATAAAAAAAACGTCTTTATTTCTGAACTACGACAGTTCTCACGACGGTTTGAGTCAACCGTCACAGATTTTCTAGGCATGTTGTATAAAATAATTGCAACAGTTACCAAAGAACCGCTCTCTTTCCACTCTCGCGGCAATTAAGGCGAACTGTCGCAATTAGTTTAGCCAATCATAATCATTATTTTTTTATTCCTTTAATTATTCACCTTTTTCTTTCATTTTTATTTTCCAACCTTTTCAATTTTATTAATTAATTTAATAATTATAATTTTCATGACAATGTAGCTTAATATTTTTGTTTCAAGCAACCTCATCGTCGACCACATACTCTTTTTTTCGGCAGAGGTAGTTGGAAACGAAGGTTGAGGGAAATTTTCAAGCTCTCCTTCATTCAAGCTCTTCAATGAACCAGATAGATTTTGATTTGAGTAGTTTTCTTTCTTCTTCTCCACCGTGAGACACTGTACCGGATTCTTCTCAAGCAGTCGGAGATTCACATTCATCCAGGATCATGGTTTCACTGTTACCCTCTTCTTTCAACTATTATCTATTCTCTATATTGCGTGACATGATTTAGTTTGAAACTATGTTCTCTTAATTAGAGGAAACTGATTTTGATCATTTGATTAAGTTTATGTAGTAATTAATATCTCATACCTGTTCAATAAAATAATTAAAAATAATTATTATGATACTTTTTAAAACAAACACATATCCTCAATTTCTTCTTAAATTTAATTTAACTAAACCATTCTTTTTATTTATTTATTATGAAATACTAACTTAAAAAAAACAAGGAGAAGAATAAAAATTGAAAAAAAAATAAAAAAATAAAACCTCCGAAAAACCCTTTCTTTGCGTCAGTTTCGACCTCACAACCCTAGCTTTGTAAAATTTCAGGTGGCGCTAATTTTTCCAATGGCTTCTCGTTTCCGATCATTCTCACAACCAGCGTTCTCCCCAATCAAATCCACCATCGCAAAACCCAAATTCTCCTCACCGTTTCTCCTCAGAACTCGCTCTCCCGTCACCGTCCGGCAAGTCCTCATCTTCGCTTCAATTCTTCCATTTCTTACAATTTAACGGAATCTTAATTTTCATTGTTCTTTCTCCGTTCAGGTCCGTCGCGGAGCTTGGTTGCGTGTAGATATTACTGCAGAACAGGTTCTACGGCTCAAGAGAGTAAGTGTATCCGAGGATGATTTAATTTATGCGGTCTAAGATGATAATTCCATTGAACCTTTCCGTTTTCTTGATTTTTATTTTCCGCAGGATGTTTCAGGCTTGCAAGTTGTGAGCCTAAATTAGCAAATCAAAATATTACTGCATATGGTCTCCTGGTTTTTGTGAGTAATCTTTAATTCTTTCAATTTATGAAGAAATCGATACTCATAGTTTAATAGAAATGCAACTTGGCATAAAAAAGTTATACATGTCACATTTCAATGATACTTGATATCATTCATGTCTACGATGGTCCACAAAGAACTTACTATTCAATAATTGATGTAGGCCGGCTTGTGTTTTTTGCTGATTATTACATACAACTGTTGAATGAAAACATAAATGGTGGACATTGAAGATGCCAAACATCATTATGGTTTATGTCATGCTTGTTGGGATCACATTGGTGAGCTGGAATTAGGTGGTCTCCTGCATATGGTGATCACATTGGTGAATCAAAATATTACTGCATATGGTCTCCTGCTTGTTGAGAATTTCCTTGAATGTTGTAGGTTATTCCTAGTTCAAACGAAACATTAGGAGTATTGATACTAAAATCTCCCGGATTTTTCCCACAAGCTTATTGGTATTGGATTGGAGTTGGAGCTTTGATTGGTTATGTTTTTCTATTTAACTTTTTTTTCGCCTTGGCTTTGCATTATCTCAGTCGTAAGTACATATTTATCTCTAATTTGTGCTGTGAAATTTACTCAGAACTTCTCTCCGGACGATATAATTCTGTATCTTTTATGCTTCCTTTGCAGCATTCAGAAAGGATCAAGCAGGTTTGTCCCAAGAGAAATTGCAAGAGAGAAATGCTTCAACAGCTGATTTTGATGATAAATCCGATACAATGATGGACGAAGCAGTTGGCGAAAATAAAGCTAGCAGTATAGGAAGGAAAGGAATGGTTCTTCCTTTTGAACCTCTATCCCTCACTTTTGATGATATCAGATATTCTGTTGACATGCCACAGGTACATTATTCGGTTACTAATATTTATCGCTGCTGCGAGATCATAGTGAGAAGCTTTTTGAGTCTATTATATTGACTATATAGGAAATGAAAAATCAAGGAGTTTGCGAGGATCGTCTCGAGCTTTTGAAGGGTATCAGTGGTGCATTTAGGCCTGGAGTACTAACAGCTTTAATAGGCGTAAGTGGTGCGGGAAAGACTACTCTAATGGATGTTTTAGCTGGGAGAAAAACTAGTGGTTACATTGAAGGAAGCATCACAATCTCTGGCTATCCAAAGAACCAAATGACATTCGCACGCATATCAGGATATTGCGAACAATTTGATATCCATTCACCCAATGTTACGATTTATGAATCTTTGCTATATTCTGCATGGCTTCGTTTATCGCCTGAAGTCGATCATGCAACTAGAAAGGTATAATTTTCTTTTCTTTTCAAATTAGATAAATTGAGGTGTTATAGTTTATCAACTTTGAACCGATTTCACGAAATGCAGATGTTTATTAAGGAAGTTATGGAGCTAGTAGAACTTAAGTCATTAAGAGAAGCACTTGTTGGATATCCTGGCGAGAACGGACTTTCAACCGAACAACATAAGAGACTTACAATTGCGGTTGAACTTGTGGCGAATCCATCAATAATATTAATGGATGAGCCGACCTCCGGCTTTGATGCTAGAGCAGCTGCTATAGTAATGAGAACAGTGAGGAACACCGTGGACACAGGACGTACCGTGGTTTGCACGATCCATCAGCCGAGTATCGACATTTTTGACGCGTTTGATGAGGTAAGAATCCTCAACCACCATTTTGTTTTAAAAAGTACTACATATTGAAGAATGAAGTGTTTCAATGTCAAAATTTTTAGCTTCTACTTCTGAAATCGGGTGGCGAGCAGATATATGCTGGTCCAATAGGCGCCCAATGTTTCGATCTAATCGAGTACTTCGAGGTGAATCAAATGTAAATGAGAAGTGCATATTAACTATTAGCTTATGTAGCATAAGCATATTCACTTAGTGCATGAATACTATAGGCTATTCAAGGAGTTCCTAAGATCAAAGATGGTTATAATCCTGCAACATGGATGTTGGAAGTTACATCAGCAGGATCAGAAGCAAATCTTAAACTCAACTTCACTGATGTGCACAATAACTCAGAACTACACAGGTTAGACTCTAGTAAAAACTCGCGTTTTTTTCGTTTTCCGTATCTTTATTCTTTATGATTTTGATACTTCAGGAGAAATAAACAGTTGATTCAGCAGCTCAGTGCTCCTTCTCAAGATTCAGAAGATCTATACTTTGATGCTCAATATTCACAAACTTTTATGGCACAATGTATAGCTTGTCTATGAAAACAACACTTATCATATTGGCGGAACACATCGTATACGGCTGTTAAGACTCTTATTTACTATCATGGAGGGTTTATTATTTGGCCTAGTTTTTTGGGATGTTGTCTTGAAAAGGTATATGGAAATGGAATCATTACATTGATCTCACAATAACTACACCATGAAAAATGAAATTCTAATCAATGTTATATCATTGATAATCACAGGACAAATGAGCAAGATCTATTCAATGCAATAGGATCAATGTATGCGGCTGTTACCTTCATAGGGGTTGTAAATGGTGCCTCGGTGCAACCAATAGTAGCGATCGAGAGAACAGTTTTCATAGGGGTTGTAAAGCTAGCAGTATAGGAAGGAAAGGAATGGTTCTTCCTTTTGAACCTCTATCCCTCACCTTTGATGATATCAGATATTCTGTTGACATGCAACAGGTACATTATTCGGTTACTAATATTTATCGCTGCTGCGAGATCATAGTGAGAAGCTTTTTGAGTCTATTATAATGACTATATAGGAAATGAAAAATAGTCAATATAACAGAATACAACATAATGTCTTCCTTTGTCAGTTTGAAAGCACGACTACTTCCGAAAGATGCAAGGTAAGATGCAAGATTTAAGGCAGCACAGGGTTCTGCCTGACACAATAGCAAATATTTATTCATATGCCATAAATTTGTTCCCTGCCTGTGCTAGATGGATATAGATGGCCTTTAGAGGACCTTAAAAATAACTTATTTGAGAACCCGTAGTCACGATCATCAAATCCTTAGGCGCATAAGCATCAATATGTTTCACCTATGAAAAATTAGAAATAACTATGTACCGGCAACATAAATAAGACTTACAGCTGCTCTAATAATTAAAAATCAAAACTCTTTAAATTTCAAAGAAGACAATTTCCTATCTTGTGCTTTGCTGTGACAATTAACAAGAGTCAAAGCCAATAATTGTCTAAGGTAAGATTGTATCTACCACGCCCTCTATTTACACGATCAAATATATGTTGCTGTATTCAGAACAAAAAAAGAGGTTGAAAATGATTTTGGGTCACTGTTAGGCCAACTAAAAATTTCCCCTACAACTGAAAATAAGCATGTCACTGTTAGGACAACTGTTATTTTTCATTGCAGGACTCTTTTTATATATTTTATGTTATTCAGATATAGGGCTAAAAAGCTCACGTTATGCATTCTTTGCTTTTGATCAGGTCATTTATTGAAGACTCTCAAGCTGGCATTAAAATATATCTTCAAGATAATAGTTACTATGGACAGAATAATAGGATAGTGACAGTGACAGGAACTCTTGATGAGCAGATGCGTGCTGTTGATTCAGATGTTTCTAAATTAGCTGAAGATTCTCATTATTCGCAGTCAATGAATGCTCCATTTTCATATTAGTGACAATGTCATTTTCAAAGTGTTTTATTTTTTGTCTTAGATATTGTATACATGTTATGTGTGATGTGGTTAAAAAATTAGAGAACGCAAGGTTAATGATTGAAAACTTTTTAATGTTTGTGTTTATTGTGTGAATATCATGAAGATTAAAAATATTATTGTATAAATAATTTAAAGAAAAAATAATATAACTATTTTAGTAGATAATAATTTAAATAAAAGAATATATTATAAAATAATATAACACAATATATAAAAATTAATAATGAACCGTCAAGATATCACATTCACTGACAGTTTTAAACTGTCACAATCAACAATGGTAACAAAAATTAAAAGGATATTCACGACAGTATTTAACTGTTGTCATTTCCAATTTATGTCAGTTCCAACTAGTCGTGAAATAGAGTTCACGACAGTTTTAAACCGTCACAATCAACAATGAAAATAAAAATCAAAAGGCTAGTAACGACGGTCTTTAACCGTCGCTATCTCCAGTTTAGGTCAGTTCAAACCCGTCGTGAAATATAATGACGGTTGTGTGTGACAGCTTTTTCAACCGTCGCTAAACAGCTTGGGGACACACGTTTCTGCGACGGTACTACAACCATCGTAGAATGTAATTGGTGGTGGTTTTAACCGTCGTAACCTGCCAAAATAACCGTCGTAATCCATCGTTTTTCTTGTAGTGATCAAACCATTCTGCGGAGTAACACCTGCAAAACAAGAACGGTAACGACCTAGCTCATGTTTTATATGTGTATGCTTTGGTAATGGCGCAATGCTCCACACGGTGGAAATGCTATGCAATCATGCAAAATGTTACGACCCCATCAGCAAAATAAATGTCGAAGGGAGAATCCTCCTGTCGAGGAAAAAGGACCACTCTGGTGCAGGAAGGAATCATCCTGCCGAGGAGAAGAAGTCACGCCAATCTCAATTGGACGCTGCTTGGGGAAACGAACTTCAGTCGACTGCTGCAGGGGAACGAAGCTCTACGAGAACTTGGACCTGCTGAGGAAAGCGATGTCAATCGCAGAAACAAACTGCACGGCATGAATGGTAACATCCTTCCTGGAGATAACGACTCCGGCGGGGAAATACAGCATCAGCTATTCAACACTCTACTGGGGAGAACCAATCATGGACCAAACTACTTTCCAAGGACTCGACTCCCTTGGGGACCTGCAAACTCGGCTGGGGAAGAAGGAATCGTCATACTTACAGGGGAGAGTACAACTCTGTGGGGAATTTCAATTCTGCTGAAGACTTCAGTCTGGAACTATCTATTGTTGCACACTTCAGTATGTGACTCAGCTAGGGAGATGACATTCCTTCAGGATGCATCTGATTGGGGAGAGAATCTTCTCTGCCTGGGGAGACATATCAATTCCTACGATCTCACGTTCAGACTCTGCGGGGAGAGGCTGCTGAACTTCACTGGAGAAGAAGGAATCATCCTATTTGGGGACGCATACAGCGTACTACCTGGTACATGCTACACCTGCACCAACACAAACAAACAGACAAGATACCCTTCTCAAAGGGACCTATCAAGGTTATCATCCTGTGACAATGCTCAAGTAATTCATTGTTTCAACAATCAGTGGCCTAGGCTAGTAAGTTTATGTATACGCATTTTGTCAAAAACATCGGCGTTCTTTTTCGCAAACAAAACAGATAAATGCTAAATAGGCAAACAGAATTACTGAATAGTATACATTTTATTGATAACGAACCCCTGAATGGGTGAAAATGTTTTACAACAGATGCAAGCCCCTGGAATGAGGAAGCCACGCAAATATAAAACATAAATATACATCAGTATATACACATGTCGGCAACGAGGCATAGACAAACACCATAAGTTGATCCCTCTATGACCCACTCGACTTCGATACTTCTCCGACGCTTCAGCTTCGGAAGAGATTGATTCAGATAAACGGCCCTCAGGTCTCCAAACCACTAAACAATGAAAGTCCACACGCGGAATGCAGTCATTTGCTTTTTCAAATCCCTAACTTTTTCCTGAATCGCCCTTCCGGGTTTTCGATTCACCGGGATACCCTTTTTTGCCAAAGTCTCCCTTCCTGGTTTTCGACTTCGCTGGTGTACATTCTTTTCAATTTATATCCCTAATTTTTGCCCGAACCTTTTCCCTTTTTTATGGTTCGCCGGGATGCCCCATTTTTGCCTGGATATTCTTTTTCTTTCCAGCGGGTCGTTTTCAAGCAAAGTATTTTTTAACTGCGTTCGCGTTCACCGGGGATGCAAAATCTTCGCCATCCATCGTGGATAACAATAAGGCTCCTCTCTAAAAGACCTTGCTGACGATGTACGGACCTTCGTAATTGGGAGTCCACTTTCCCCGGTGATCGGAGTATGGAGGAAGAATCTTCTTCAGGACGAGATCACCCGTCTGAAAGAATGCTTGGAGAGAAAAATATTGTTAGATATATAACTCTTGTTAGCAAGATCAGGCTTTCTACCACAGCGAATACAAATGCATAGATGAAGCATTTTTGTGAAAGGGTAACACCCTGCATCTGACTGATTTTGTGAAGGAAGCATAGACAAAGCCAGACTCACCGCTTGAGCAACCATGTTTATGAAGGCAAATCCATTAGAACCATTGGAGGAACATATTTTGTACAACAACTTCCAAATGACGATAATGAAACAGTATGTAACTTCGCTATATTGATCCTATTGTCATGGTTTGTGCAGGTCACAGGTTCATTGGTCTTTGCATCATTGAAACATTTCCGCCAGGATTTGGATTTGAAGAAGCTTGTGGTAGTAAATAAGAAGAAGAGTAAGAGTTACTTGGAGCTACAGGCTTAACATGATTCTGAACAAAGTAGATTATATCATTGTAAAGCTTCTTCATGAAAGCTAACTCAGACATTAACATGTTGTTACTTCTTCTTAATCTTCCATTGCCTTTGGAAAGAGCGGTAACAGAAGTGTTGTAGTTTGTTGATGTTATTGCTGCCTTGGATTATCATCATTGATGTTCTGAAATTATGAGCTAGCATATGATGATGACTTATAGGAATTCAGTTGTTGTTGTTGATATGAATCATGGTGAGTCCTAGAAGAACCAGAAGCTTCTGGAAAGAAGGTTCTCTCATCCATGGCTCCATCTCTTATCCCTTGAACTTGAACATGCCTCCTATAGTCCTTGTCATCCTGAGAATAAGATCCAGAATCCAGAAAGAGGTGATGAGTAGTAGAACCATCATGAGGCTGAAACTCAGAATGATCAAGTGGTTTAGAGGCAGTAAGAGATTGTTGAGAATAAAAGTAAGGGTTTTGGTAGGGTTGTGAAAAGGCTTGTTGTTGTTGAGATTCATGAAAAGGAAAAGAAGAAGGTGAGGTTAAGGTATTGTTGTTGGTGTTCAAGGAGAGGTTTCTGTTATTGGTTTGTGATTGAGATAGAGAGATTGTGTCTGTGTTTGTTGTTGATGATGATGAAGAAGAAACAACTAGTTCCACAGGCTTTCTTGAACGGTTTCTACCTCTGTGCACGTGTCTTTCACAGTACTTAGAGTCTGGATATGCTTCCTTTGAACATCTCCATTTCTTGCCATCGGTT